GGTGATTTCTCACTTTCTGTCCATCTCTCTGTCTCTCTCTGGTGAGGGTAAGTACCTTAGTAGCAACAATTCTCTCTAAGAAAACAAAAAAAAGAAAAGAAATGCAAACTTTTTGGCTCAGCGCTCAGGATCCTTTCTTGACCCTTCTCTTTTCTCTTCCCCTTCCTTTCCTTTCTCTTCTTTATCTTCCTGCCTTCTGCTTTCATCATCACATGATAATAGTCACTGTCATTAACAAAGTATATATTTTTGGCCAATATTGTGCTAAGTAAAGGAAGTGGCTAGGCTGGAATGCCATCCTGGTGGGGTGCTTACTCAGGATATGAGTCATATCTGCACTCCACCTCTGCACAAACCCTCTCTTCCCTCTGCCAATCTTGCCTCTCTTGGCTCTGCTCATCCCAAAGCACTGATGATGTTCTCTTTTGGAGCTGCATGCACCTTTACCTACCTCCACATAGCAGTCCTCTAAAGAACTGAAATAAAACTCTGCCATAGTTCCTCTAAGCTTTTATATATATCTTCCTTGTCATGTTGACCTTTGACTTTCATGAGAAAGAAGCTAAGTTTTTCAGTGTCTCATCTTGAATGTGACATACAGAGATAAGAAGTGGGCTGACCAGCACACAGGATAATAAACCTACTTACTGTCTTTGTTCCAAACATGCTGCCTCTGTGCATGTATCACAAGATTGCATTTACCTTTTTCTCACGGAACCTGAAGCATGCTGTTGTCTTATATTTATTCATAAGTATTTCTTATCACTAACATACTTTGTGATCCTCATTTTAATGACCGCAACATTGCTTATCATATTACGATTGCAGTATAATCTATACAATCGTTTGTGGTACTTATAGATTGTTTATGGTTTCTCCTGAATAAATGCTTACAAGTAGAAAGACTAGATCTTAGACTTTAGTTGTTAGCCCTGTGACATCGGTTTAAGTCAAGTAGCATCAAAACAACCAGATAACTCATATATGTGATGAAATGAACTTATGTGCCAATTTTGTTTTGTAGATTTATTTTTCTTAGTAAAGGTCCTTGGATAAAATTAAAATCAGAAGAATGAAAAAATAATAAAATACAATGGCTTCTATTTTGGGGGCATATAGTCTGTGCCAGACAGTGTAGGGGCACTTCATTTTATCTCTGCTGACTTGTTAAAAAAAATACTAAGATGATGACATTATTCTCATTTTTTAGATGGGGGAGTTGATTTCTAAGAGCTTAAGCAACCATCTCAGGACATTCCTAGTAAGTAGAAGGCTCAAATGAAAAGCAGATCTTCTTTTTTCTCTAATCTGTACTCTTGGACTGGATCTCTAACAAGGCTGGATCTCTAACAAAGATTAGAACAATTGACTATACAAATTAAAAAATGCATGACCCAATGTGATGAACTACTTAGATATTATTATCTGTCTTGTGTGAAGACCTAGAGAAGAGTTCCCATCTAAATAGGAAGAGGGCCCCCTCTAGGCAAGTGCAGGACACAGAGACTGTACTTTGGTCCACAGTAGGCACTCAGAGAATGATCCACAAACATCTCTTAAATTATAGAGTGAGCATTTAATCCCAGGTGCTCTGACTCTGTCCTGTTCTCTTTCACTAAAGAGCATGAGAATTCCCCATTGTATTACCCTTTGTTCCCAAACAGACCATACCAAATACCATCAGGATTTTGAAGCTGGTGGTGAACAAGCAGTAAGGAATAATCACATTTGTAAGGATATAGAGGTCAGTGATAGGAGCAATAATAGCTACTATTTACTGAACGTTTATGAAATATCTGGGATTATGCCAAACACGTTAAATACATTTGTTCCATTTACCATCAATTGGTCAGATTGCTAATGCCATTTCCATTTTGCAGATGATGAAGCTAAGGCTCAGAGCATTTTTGACAACTTTCCCAGGTTCACCTAACTGATTCTTTCTTTTTTATTTATTTATTTTTTGGGGGGAGGTTTTTGCCATAGGGTGCATCTGCTCGCCAGAAATAGAGAGAGCTAGAAAGTGAGAAATCACCCCCCCCCAGGGGGGCTGGCCACACCACAATCCCTTCTCCTCCATTCTCCTCTCGGGATCTTGGGCATGCATGCACACGTGCCCAGCGTGAGTTTAAGCCACCGGGTCTAGGACTCGAACTGCAGTTGACTACGTGGGAGTCCAGTGACATAGCCATTACGCTAACTGCTGGTCTCTCATCTAACTGATTCTTAGCTCAAGATCTCTGTGCTCTGTGTAGCCATGGATTATTGTAATAGGAGGGATTTCCTTGGCTCTTTCCCATTTTTGAGTCACCTTGGAGAATCTTTTCTCTGAACATTGTGGATGTATTTTCCCAAAGTTTAAGGCACATGGCCAACCAAGCTTATGATTTTCTTCTTTAACATACAAGAATACTAAGGTGGCATGAGCATTTGTCCATAAGGTTCTCATGGTTTCTATTATATTAATCAATTCCTCCTTGTTGATTAGAGTTACATGCAGAATGGTGGTCTTTTCCTAACTTCTAGGACATAAAAATCATTATCAAATTATAGATTTATCAGCTGGGTTGTCTCAAACTGAGGGTCTCAGTTTTTTCTGAAGTAGTTGAAGTCCTATGTTTGGGCCAAGATATCTTCTGAGGTCATTTTGTTAGAAAAGCATCATCTATGTTTTTCTGAATCGTGGAAGTGAGGAGATGGGTTAGACAGGGAACTGCAGTATATTCCCCTTTGATTTGTATTAACTAGTTCCTGTTATTCTTACACCTATGCGCTCTACCTGGTTTCTTCTACCCCAGTGTGTTTTTTCCAATGTATGTGATACTCCCAACCCTTGTCACAAGCGCATGCTCATTTTCTCAAGGAAAGATTGAACTTTTTTTTTTTTTCTAAGTCCTGTCTGAGAGAAGTGGTGAATACACAGAACACTAAGAACGGATTTCATCTGACTGTAGAATCAAGACAAGAAGTTGGTAAAGGAGCAAGAACTTAGGCAGGGGGGGAGGATGAGCAAAGTGTGGAAAAAATGAGAAATATGAAAAATTGATATTGGTAGTGTCAACAAACTCTTGCATACTTTATAAATTTGCCAGTTATTTGAAAATTCTGTTTCTGTCTTTCTTCCTTTCTTCTTTTCTCTTTCTTTTAAATTTGCTAGAGGGCATGCAAGCTTGCTGGAGAGAAAGAGAGAGACAGACAGAGATAGAGAGAGAGGGAAGTGAGAATCACATGCCCATGGGGGATGGTTACACTGCAATTCCTTCTCCTCCACATCTCCTCTCAGGATTTGGGGCACATATGCACATGTGTGCAGTATGTTTTTTAAGCCACCAGGTCTAGGACTCAAATTGTACAGTTGACCATGTGGAATTCCACTGCCTTTACCAACAAAGTGTTGGCTGGGCGCCAAATTCTGTTATTCTAAGTACATCACCATTTATAGTCTAGTGCTAAGTGAAATGCTGTTTTCAGTCTTATGCTTTGAAACCAGTTGGAGAAATTACAAACTATGAAACCAACAAGGAAAAACAAAATTGAAAAAGCGTAGGTTTAAATTTCTCTTCTGTCATATATTAATTTTCTGACCTTGGGTTAGCTGTTTAGTCCTTCTAACCTTCTGTGTTATTATTTTTTTTTTTGTATGATGTGGAAATAAAATTGTCAATTGAGAAAAAACAAACTTCCTGATAGACTATTTTAAGAGGGAGTCCTAAATGCTCTTTATTAAATATTAAATGGAATTTTTAAAATTTATAATTATTTATTTATATTTTTATTACATTCAATCACTGTGTATCATTTCAGTGTACTGAATAAATTTTCCCATCGTGAATACACTGTATATTGGTTCAGTCAAAGATATTACACTATCATTAACAAATAATTTTCCATTTTTGTGTCCTTTGTTTTCTTTAATTTTATTTTTAAGGATTTATTAATATATATGTGAAGCTTTAGAGTCAAAGCCAACCTGATTTCAAAGTTTGACACTCTCAGGACCAGCAGTTAGTGTAATGGCTATGTCACTGGACTCCCATGTAGTCGACCTGGTTCGAGTTCCAGACCTGGTGGCTTAAACCCATGCTGCTGGGTGCATGTGTGTGCGTGCATGCCCAGGATCCTGAGCGGAGCATGGAGGAGAAAGGATTGTGCCCTGGCCATCTCCCCTGGGGGGTGATTTCTTGCATTCTGTCTCTCTCTTTCTGGGGAGCACACATGCCCTATAGCAAAAACCTCTCAAAAAAAAAAAAACAAAAAAAGTTTGGCACTCTCACTTGCTGGCTTTTTGGCACATTATTTCTCTCTTTGAACACTACTACTGTCATATGTAATATGGAAATAATATTCACCCTCTTTAAGGGGAAGTGATGCATTTGAATGTATCATAAAAGTGGTTTGCATCACCTGTAATGACATTGAGTGAGCTACAGGATACAAAAGAGTTCTTCAGACTCATAGCCTCGGTAATTGTAGGCTTTCATCATTATTAACATTTCAATGTCCACTGGATGAATTGCTTCCTGTCTTGTAGACACTCCAATTATAAGACTTCTGTTTCTCCTGAGTGCAGATATTCTTTTATCCAGATTTTACTCAACCACCTGTTACTTTCTTATCAAACAGTGACTGACTCCACTTCAAAACAAAGAAATGCAAAACAAAGAAACGCAAAACATCGAGAACAAAACAAAACTTGGAATACACAGTCATCGTTTTAACTGTCAACATCTGAGTTCATCGCAAACCAGGTGCAGATAATAACTTAGATCTTGAGACTTAATTTGCTTCCAAATTCTCGCTAGATAGGAATCCTGAAAAATTGGTTTGGGAGGAGATGAGATGTGGAGTCTGAACACGTACTCGAACGCTTTTGGGAGCAGAGCCAAGATTTCAGCCATTCAGTGTCTGGGAGATCCGGTAGAGAGGGAGGAGAGGGGGGAGAGGAGAGAGAGGAGAGAGTAAAGGAGAGAGAGAGAGCACAAGAGCGTGATGCTCCTTACCGTGGCATCTTCTCCGGCGTAGTGGTTGAGGACCCAGCGCCCACCTGGATGCCTGTCTGCCCAGCTAGTGACATTGTAAACCTTGCGATCAATTACCAGCCACTGGTCGGACTCCTGATTGTGTCTCTGGATCTCCTGCCAGGTGTACGTGTTGAGGCTTTCCCTGGGCGTGTGGTGCTTCCCATTTGCCTCCTGTTTCACACAGACCTGAGCTTTCCCACTTGCTGCTGTTTTCCCGTTTGCCTGATGTTTCTCTCCTCCGGACGTCTGACTTTTCCCCACAAGGTTTCCGTTGCCCACGTGCTTTTCCTCGAACTTCATGGTCGCTGAGTCCCGGGGATTCCTGAGTTGACTTCTGAAAATAACTAATCCTAGCCTCTAACTGGACCATAGAATGATGGCCTTTCTTCTCTTTCATTCCATTGCAAGACGAAGCCTCCACAGATTAACTTTTACCCTAGCTGTCTTTTCACAAACCTGATAATGACTACAGTCCCAGCCTCTCACTTCTCTGTCTGTCCTGAATCTTTCCTGTCCTGATGGAGGCTAGACCACCTTTCTCTCTTCACCTATCTCCCTGCTGGCTGGCCTCTCAGCAGCATCTCCATCATTTAATATCCCTTAGTAAAGAGCTAGGGCCAATCCCAGGCTGGCCCAAGGTTGTGGCCCGCCCCCAGGGAGGAGCGACTAAGTCCTGGCTGGTGATTACCCTGAGTATCCTGGAGGGTTGGGTTCGGGGCAACTCTCTGACCCGCCTGTGAATGGAGACCTTCAGATTTGTTCATTCAACATGTGAGCAAAAGCTTTCAAAATCTCCAGAACGACATGAAGGCTTGCTAAACTTGGGAAATATTCTTGTTATTTTTGACAGCTGTTATTATTCCTCCTAAGGGCTTTTAAATTCTTTTAAAGTTTTCTTTTCGTCTTAAGGAAGGATTGGATTTCATTGTACCAAAAAGAGCAAATCAACTAAAACCAGTTTTTTTCTCTTTTTGTTTCCCTTTGAGGGCCATCTAAATCTATTAGCACACGTAAAAGGAACAGCAACTGATGTTTGCAAGAACACATGATGTTTTTTGCAAAGCTGTTGTCACATGTTTTATCTGATTTAATCCTCACAATCTTTTTGAGGGAGGTGCAATTATTGCCCCACTTTCCAGGTGAGAAAACAAGGATTGAAGGCCTCAGGTGACTTTCGTCAGTAAGAAGTGCATAGCTCTAGATTTTATGATTCCAGCTCTCATCCTTTTAATGTAAATATCTATAGTCTAGGTATTTAAAATAATAACTTCACTCAGTGGTTTAGAAGCAAGGGAGAAGAAATTCTGGAATAGAGTTGAGAAGGGTCTTAATCTTAAGAAAGAGTCTGCTTGAAATAATAGAAAAATGCTTCCTCGTATATGGAAATCTATCTTTAACTAAATCATCATAATTCAGTCTAAGATTTATGTGTAAAGAAATTTAGTATTATTTATAATTGTTAGAAGTTAGAAGTGGCCTAAATATTTAGGCAAAAATTACATTAATTATGCTATGTGGAATATTATATAGATATTTAAAGAGAAGTTTTTATAGAATTTTTATGACATGGACTCATGCTTGCATTATAACAAAGGAAAAATTAGTTAATAAACTGTATTTTCTGAATGGTATATGATTGAAAGGAAAATGCATTAGTTGGCATTAGTTCTCTTTGGATTATAGTGTTATTCAAGATTAATTGTTTTCTATATTTTATGATACTTCCCAAATTTCCTACAAATCAATATGCATAATTTTCATAATGTACAAAAGATAGGGTTATTTTAAAAATCTAAATAAGGAACCAAAGAGATATAAAACAAATTTAGGAAATAGATGGACTTTGGATCATATTTCAGCTCTATCATTTATTAACCACAGCAAATCAACTAAATTACTTGATTTCTTTGAGATTTAATTTTGTATCAATGAAATAAAAGAATAAGCATAATCCTCAGGATTACATGAAGTTAATGTAAATGCCATGGTATTTACAGAAACTCTGCAGTTTCCATGACTTCTGAAGGGGGTTTTTATAAATCCAGCATACACACATTCAGTGTTTGTAGGTCATTTGCATAAATGGGTGAGTCATTCAGCAATTTAATCACAAATTCATCCACTGAACCTGTATTGAGTGACTTCTATGGGCTGGCATTGAGCCTCTAAGACTTTTACTACTTTTAAAAACAGTTGTGCTTTTTTGACATCATCACCCAATAGGACATAAGAGTAGGGGTTCCTATGGCTCAAATATGTGTATTCAATTACTTAGGAGTCTTCATCCTGGACCAACCCAGCTTGCTCATTAGAATCCTGTGCCAGCAGCTCTCAGCCTAAAACTTGTCAGAGGTGGTAGTATCTAATGGCTACCATTGAGAACTTCTCATCACATAATTTATCGAAGATTTCCTGAGAAACTATTTTCATGTTGCCATGCCACATAACTTGGAGATGAGAGAGAAAACTTTCTTTGCTCTGTAAGGAGAACTGCTGAAAATAAAGAGAACAGCTAAAACAAACACCACTCCTCCCCCACCACTAAGCATTCAGTTTCTTCCTGCGAGTGAAGAACTAGATTTGCAGGGTATATAATCCAGGGTAAATTCTCTCAGTTCTCCCCACGTTTACTCTTGTTCTGATGGAAAAACAGATTGTCTTGACCTCTGTGACTAGTTCTTCTCCTGCAGGATTGCTCTGACACTGCCAGGGCTTTGAAGAGTCCCAGGCTCTGATAAAAGTTTTTAGGTTGTTGCCCAAAATAATGAAAGAACCTTGTCCTAGTTTTGAGTCAAACATCTCCTTGAAGACATACATATGTGGAACATCTTTCTTGACTGTCCTTAATAGAATAAGCAGCAGACCACTCTGTATGTGAGTTCCCCTAATAAATGCTTTATGTGGATCTTCCTGGTGTTCAGGACTTCTTTCTTTGGAATCCTAACTGGCCATATCTTGGGATAGTTTGAGAGCTCTCCCTTGTGGGAATTCCCCTACTGCCACTTTAGAGGCAACTGCAAGCCTGGATCTGGAGAAATACCAGGACTGCAGCTTCTAGTGACATGAACTTGGATAAGCTGGTTAACTCCTCTGTGCCTCAATACAATACCTTTCTAAAATAGGGATGAAACTAATGACACTAATACCTCATAAGATTCCCTTCACAGTCTTGTGAGGATTGTGTTGATTCATGTGAAGGGCTTAAGATAACGCTTAGGATTTGCTGTAGATGTTAGCTGCTGGTATTATTCTTTTAGTTCGGAGCCAGCATATTATTTAGCCACAATGAGTATTTGATGAACACATATGATTGCCAGGTGCTGCCTCTCTACAATAATTCTATGTTCTTAAAGAATGCAAGGGGAGGGAACCAGCAGTTAGCGTAATGGCTATGTCGCTGGACTCTCACGTAGTCAACCGCGGTTCACGTCCTGGACCCGGTGGCTTAAAACTCACGCCGGGCGCGTGTGCGTGCATGCGTGCCCAAGATCCCGAGAGGAGAATGGAGGAGAAGGGATTGCGGCGTGACCATCCCCCCTGGGGGGTGATTTCTCGCTTTCTGTCTCTATGTCTCTCTCTGTCTGTCTGGCGAGCGCACCCTATAGCGAAAATCTCTCTCAAAAAAAAAAAAAAAAAAAAAAACAAGGGGGGGGGAAAGACACCGCAGGAGAAAAAAACTAAGCAACCATGGAGCTTTTAAGAGCCAAAAAGTAGCAAAAAATATATTCAAATATAAGATTTATTATTTTTCTCTTCAGATAGATACCAAGTAATACCTTTCCTTTTTTAGAAATCCATTTTTTAAATATTTCATCTACATCTTACTGAATTAATATAATTATATGTAATTTAATGAAATAAAAGAATGTAGAAACAAGATTATGTTAACCAGTACCAGAACACACATAATACCCTTCAAGGTGACTAGACATAGAGACTTAAAACGTGCATAATTTCCATCTAAGAACTAATGATTAGAGTTAAAAGGTGTCTCATTCAAAAAAAAAAAAAAAAAGAATGCAAGGGGAGGAGACAGCCAGTCAAATGGGCATAAAAAGAGATAAGCGTGTATTAATGCAATGAATGAAGTGGGAAAGAGAAGTATCTAAGTTTGAATCACAGGCAGAAAGAAGCAGGCTCATCTTTGCTATTCCCACTGACCAGGCCTGATGTTGTCTGAATTACCACTGTATCACTTGGAATCTGTCTTCTCCAGGCTCCTCATCTTCTTTTCAATCAATCAATGATCATTCTCTCATGCTGCAATGTCAGAAACCAAACTAGAAAGGTCAAGTTTATGCATGATGCCCAATCCAGAGCACTGTCCTTTCATGTAAAAATGAAAATCACTTAAAAAGGAATTTAGAACAGGCTGGGAACACTTTTAGATCCTGTGGATTCAAACTCTGTAACTCACAAAGTTAGAAGAACAGCTTTGAAGATAGCAGAAAGAAACTCTGGTTTTATCATCAACATAGCTGTTTATGCCTATTTTCTGCTACTTCCTTCTTTTTTTTTTTTTTCAAAGAGATACTTTTGCTATAAGGAGTGTGCACTCTCCAGAAAGGCAGAGAGAGGAGAGACAGAAAGCAAGAAATAAGCCCCCTGGAGGGATGGCTATGCCACGAGCCCTTCTCCATTCTCTCAGGGCACACACGCACACTCACTGGCTTGAGTTTAAGCCACTGACTCCAGGACTGGACCTGTGGTTGACTACATGGGAATTCAGTGATGTAAGCCTTACATCATCTGTTGGTGTCACTTCCTTCTTTTTATTTATTTATTTTTTTTTGAGAGATTTTTTTTGCTACAGGGTGCTTACACTTACCAGAAAGCAAGAAATCACCACCCTGCTGCCCCCCGAAAGGGATGGCCGCACCACAATCCCTTCTCCTTCAGTCTTCTCTAGGGATTTTGGGCACACATGTACCTGGCATAAATCTAAAGCAACTGGATCTGGGACTCGAACCATGATTTACCATGTGAAAGTCTAGTGTCTTAACCACTATGCCACCTGCTGGCCCCCACTACTCCCTTCTTAAAAGCTGTGCATCTTTATTTAAGTTACTTATCCTATCTAACTTCAGTTTCCTCGTTTGTTCAATTTGGTATGATACCCATTAAAGGGTTTGTTTTTAAAGAATTAAAGTGTTGTGAGGCTCAAAAGAAGGCAGAAGAATGGTTTTAATGTTGAAACCTGATACTGTTATGATAATTGAGATTTTTATAGTGAGTACAAGATTTTCCAAATTCTCCATGGAACTCTTCTGACTGGATCCATTATATCACAGAGAGAAAAATGCAACCATTCTTTCTAGCTGCAGAACCACGTAAAAGGGTGGACTGAGCATAAAGGGACATAGTTCTTCTGTTGCCTCACTACCTACCAGTCTATTCATAAACTGCTTTGAGATCCTTAAGTTCTGACATTATAGATGTGCATGTGAGTGTAGCTATTAATGTCATGGCCGATCTATTCTCTGGGTAGGTCTATTTAACTTGGGGCATGC